CTGCTGGGAACCTTTAGATCTTAGCCAGATTACACAATCGTAGATTGTAGATTATTTCCTATTACTTTAGATTATTTTTTACTCGTCCATTTGACTCGTTTAACATTATCCGAAATTGTCGTAAGACACGATCGTTATTTGCGCGAAACTGTCAGATATTATTTTGCAAGCGGACAAATTCTTGCACGCTTGCGTGAATTGTCACGTATCACGGAATTTCCACAATTTATCGCTTCGAGCGACCAGGGCCGTCTTGAGGGAGTGGACTCCCGTGCCTTGTACAGGGTGTCCCAAAAATGTTGTAACACCTTGAAAGGGGTAGTTTGGGAGGTGATTTGAAACAACTTTTTCCTTAGCGAAAATGTTATCCGAGGCTTCGTTGAGGAGATATTAACGGAAAACACTGACCAATCAGAGCGCGAGGATGCCGGTTGAGCGTAGGCTACGCGCTAGGCGGCCGCTCTCGTACGCTACCGCGGGCGCTCCACCGGCATACTCGCGCTCTGATTGGTCAGTGTTTTCCGTTAATATCTCCTCAACGAAGCCTCGGACAACATTTTTGCTAACGAGAAAGTTGTTTCAAATCACCTCCCGAATCACCTCTTTCAAGGTGTTACTACATTTTTGGGACACCCTGTACGGTGATGTGGAGCTGCGTGAGTGCGTACCAGAACATACAAGGCACTCCACTCCCTTAACAGCACTGTTAGCATGGGGCCCCGCGTAAGTGCCCAAACGTAAAGACGACACTGTTGACGATTCAATTCGGATGAATGACGAGCTAAACACGCGCGCTGTCGATATGGAATAACGATTCGAATAATGTTTTCGGTACTTTGTTATACATTGTCTCTAAATATAGTCGACTATATTGTTTCGGTTTATCTGCAAAATGCTTTTAAACGGTTTTCCTGTATCGTTGTCATTACGAATAATGTCTGTGCAACGCATGAATTTGTGAGCATTATCTATGGTAATCCGTTGTAAACATTGTGTACGTTGCTAATGATGTGAAGAGATTGTTCGTATAATAACAATTATAAAGGTAAAAGCAGCCTATTCGAGAAAAATTCCACGTTCCAAATTCTCCATGAAAAAGTTTCGAAGGTTTGGGACACGTGTGAATGTTAAAGCGAACCGCTCAAATTTCTCTCTGATTACATTTTGACACAGTTAGAGGCCTGCAAGTTACTTGAACGGGGAATTTCATGCAAGGTGTGCATCAGCATAAAGTCGCTACTAAGGCGAAGTTCGACGACCGTGCGACGAACAACGCGTGCAAAGATGGCGGCCATGGGGGCCCCCACCTTTGCCAATGCAGACGTGAACGCCACGTGCTGGAGCATTCTCGATCAATCATGTAATCACTCCCTGGCACAGGGTCTGAATAAAATGTATTAACCGTTCATGACGAATTTCAGCCGTGCAGAGATATTCATAGAGCAGTGGTGGCATAGGCCTGTCTAGAGACTTCTCGATCATTTACGCATGCCTGCCAGTGGAAATGTTCCACCGTTGGTACATTTATTAACTCGTTGAAAACCTGATATGTTATAAAAGCCGATATTATAAACCATTTAAAAAAAAAAAAAAAAATATCGAGCGCGCAGGTTAAGGTTAGGTTAAATTACTGTGATATAATTCGTTAAAATTTGAAATAGAACGCAGAGAAGTCGTGCGGTAATAGTCAGCCTTGTTGCCACAATCGTTTCTCGAATATTTCGAATGTATGTGAGTATAATTATATTTTTTGAACGTGACTATCTCGAAACGATTATCTTAAGTGATGTACGAACTCTTACTTGGTTGAATCAGTCGCGAACTTCCTCGAGTAAACGCAATAGACAGTAGTAATGCTCTGTTAGAAATAGCTCAGTTTACGCGCTATCGTATTTTACCGATGGAGCGTTACGACTAGATGGGTACTGAACTCTCAGAGTGCTTTGTCTCTAAAGCGTTAAAACTTCACTAACTTAACTTACATCGGTCTCTCTATACCTCAGCTACCTCTTTTTAACATCTTTATGATTTCAGCTCCTTAAACTTTAAATCTTTCTAAATTATTGGGTATGGTTGCGTGCTATCTGTGTGGACTATGAACGCACTTATGTGTTTGTCAATCTTTTCGACCTCCCGCGTACTTTAGTCACAATTATCAGGGTAGACGATGAATACATGTGCTTTTCTTAGCAACAACGGTAAACAAAAAAAATTGCAAGTCCGTTTTTATCAGCTATCTCTTGCCTGTTTCGCGGAAAGTCGTAATTCTTGCCACACCAGAAAAGTTGTGATTGCCAGAGAAGCGTAACACGTTATGTTTAAAGTTTTCCATACCTAGTTGTAGGATTCTCTTTTCTAAATTGAACAAAATCTCCACGTAATGCCTTGGTCGTTTCGACGGCGAAAATAAAAGAATTGATACCAGGAGACTCGAAAGGTTCCTTTAATTTACCAGAAATAAATGAAGACGTGCAAGGGAATGAACACGTTGGAGAACGAACAAACTAAAAGTAGGAGGTATTCTTCGTTCGTTGGCAACAGCCGAGTTACTGGCATCTTTACAATATTTCCGTAGCTCGAAAATATATGGTTAGGTCACCTTTTACGAGAAACCTTAAGTGTTGTATACACACAGCATTAAAGGAATATATTTAAATAATACTATTTTTACTTGAGAGTAAAAGGAGAACTCTACTTATAGCCGTGGACAGTTCTCGTACCTTTTAAGTTTGCAATTTTTATACATGCTCTTTGTACATGTTTATGTTCATATACATTATATTAATATTAAATTATATAGAATTTTTTATTTAAAAATGAACTGAAATTTTCTTTTTACTCAAGCAAAATAAAGTTACGAATTTAATTCGGTAAGAGGTCTCTGGCAGTGTGTATCTTCTTACACTTCCGGCTTCTTCTATTAGCGTAGGCGTAACCGGTGAAAGAGAAGTAGACGCAAGTGACATTGAACGGTTCGCCAAAAGTTGGACTTTTGTATTTGTTGTCGGGGATTGAATGTCTAGCGAGAGCCACAAAGCAAGCTTCAACGATATTTTTGCAACTCTATCCCCAGTATATGTGCCAAAAGCTGTAAATTCAGTTTTAGAGTAATCGTAACACAAATTATAGTTTCTACGAAACCTCGCTTTTGGCACTGTGCTCATTCGTGCTATTCTCTAGGCTTCTAGTCACTTGTTGTTCTTAATTCGTTTTTCATTTAAAATGTAGTCAACCTTCCTACGAACACAGTCAATTCGTTTCATGGTTTATAGAAGGCCAGCAATGAATCCATAAACTAATAGAAAACCGTGGAAACGCGTTCCGATACGTAACTTTATATAACTCTGTTTTATATAACTATTTCATATACCTGTTTATGAAAGTCATGAGTGTAAATTCCTATAATTCTGTACAGTTTATATAACAAATATATGACAGAGTAACAAGAATGTGTAAATTTGTAAATTGATTAGTAGGAAATGTACGCGATAGATATACGAACATTCGATCCAAATATACAAACTGTGACCGGAAACCCGGGACCGATTTTTAAAATCAATTCTACGTGGCCTTACTAATTGAAAAGTTCGTTGCCGTTTTGCAATTCGAGGTTTCCATATCGAGTTATCGGCGTTTCAAATTTACAGGTGTGACTTCCGGCGCGCGGTCTTTGAATTCCAATCGGTTTTGCGAGCTCGGGCTACTCGTGTCGTTTATGGCATTGCTCGAACGCGTCTCTAAATATATATCTCGATACATCTTCTTCGTTGCTTTTATTCGTTTCGGTGTGGAATTGTTCATCGAATTAACAGGTTGAGTGTTAAACTCGGCACATACAGAAATATCAAATAAGTTGCATGTTGAAAATTGTCCAACTCGTAGTTCCTTTAGTGACATCAGTCATTTATTTTCGTCGCACTATGAACCGCGTTCTGGCCCATTGTGCGCCATCGCGACAATGCTGCTTAGCAGACAATAAGTTTCCGCGTGGTTATTCATGAATTCGCAGATTTCTGCAGCCCCTTTTCCAAACACTGGCCTCTATAAGGCACCGACGTATCTTAGGTGATTTCTATTTTTGCCGTAATGGAAGACAATGGCAACTCCTGTTTATCTTTTGTGTGCAACTTTGTGGCACAACGGTAGCGTTAATATGTCATCTGCACCGTTACAAATATTCCCTTAAATTCAACATAAATTACACGTCTCGAAAGGTCCAACAATATTATTGTTTTTATTTAAATTCGAATTTAGAAAGTTCGATCCTTCGCTTCATGATCATTATTAGAAACCAAGAGAAACGTGCACAAAGTTAATCGAAGACGCTTTCCCCTCCTTTTTAGCAGACCCAAATTAGTAAAAATATGAACACTTGATGCGGTCTAATTATTGTCCATTCCATTGCATTTTGCCTGACGTCGTATTATGGATAATAATAGCCGTTAATAACCGTCTAATCTTGTATGCAAACGTTCATTTGATTCTCGTTAAGCTACAGCGCGCAGGTGTGCAGTTGAACTTTTTACTATCGCCTCCTAAATAAGCAGAGATCAACGTAATCAACGCGTCAGCAGTATAATGGCATCTGCTTCGAATCCATTCATAGCGTTACGTGTATCTATGCGGGACTCGAAGGATTTCGCCCGACTCTGCTTAACTTTAGAGCTATATTTAGAAAAGTAACCGTGTTTGCACACTGTAAAGTTCAGCGAGCACTGGCGAACAATATAGCAACACCAGTAAAAATTGATTGACGCTAATCCCCGTGGCACACGCTGCTCGTTAAGCAATTGATATTCGAGGGGTTATTCTAAGCTAGAGAGTCAATTTTTAGTTCCTTTTCAAAAAATAATCAAAGTATAACGTAGTACAAGTGATCTTTTGTACAAGCCCCTCTGAGAAAGGTATATTCAACGAAGAGATTGTAGAGAAAATTGCAAAGAAATTTAAGCTTCTAGTAGACCATCTATGGGGCAACTAGTATGCATACGTCTACTTCTAAACACCTTACGGTTGGATACACTTGGAAAAGAATAATTCTGTTGTATATTGATAGATTTAGGAGGTTGTGGGCTTTAAGAGATTACAGACCTTAGTACTCCTGGACCCTGGAATCGAATCTTAATGGAACCTATGGGGCAACTAGTATGCATACGTCTACTTCTGAACGTCTTACGGTTGGATACACCTGGAAAAGAATAATTCTGTTGTATATTGATAGATTTAGGAGGTTGTGGGCTTTAAGAGATTACAGACCTTAGTACTCCTGGACCCTGGAATCGAATCTTAATGAAACCTATGGGGCAACTAGTATGCATACGTCTACTTCTGAACGTCTTACGGTTGGATACACCTGGAAAAGAATAATTCTGTTGTATATTGATAGATTTAGGAGGTTCTGGGCTTTAAGAGATTACAGACCTTAGTACTCCTGGACCCTGCAATCGGACCTTAATGGAAAGTATGGGGCAACTAGTATTCATACGTCTACTTCTGAACGTCTTACGGTTGGATACATCTGGAAAAGTATAATTCTGTTGTATATTGATAGATTTAGGAGGTTGTGGGCTTTAAGAGGTTACAGACTTTGGTACTACTGGACCCTGTAATCGGATCTTAATGGTAACTATGACGCCAGTAATATTCGCGTGTTTACTCTCAAACGGTGTGCGAAGCAGTTTCATTGTTTATTACGCTTAGTAGCCGTGACTGTACAATAAACTTCCCGTCTTTGTTGTATAAATGACCCAGCAGTGCGTACATTGGACCAACCCACGTTATTGTTCACCGGTGACGTCATTATGAAATTTCTTTCGTGATTCACTTCTTTTACTCCCTGGTCCAAGCACTGAAATAGCACCCTCGAGAGTTCTGGTTGCATTTCGATAGTTTCTAAACAGTTCTCAAAGCAGTTAAAAAGCATAATTAATATGGTCGAGTTTCCCGAAGGCTGGCAACAAGTTGAGACAAATTTTCCATTCACCTCTAACCACGTGTCGACAGCTGATGACGTCTCCACGTGCGAGGTAAAACTCAATTCCGAAATCATTCGCAAGCAAACATCCACGTGGAAGTGTATTCGTCAGAAATTGACGCTGATCACGACTTCAGAATGGCCGTAATCGGTGTTTGACCGAGACATTCCGAGTCTGAGGAACAGCTGAGTGGTCTCTGCGGTTAAAAGTAGCGCAATAGGAGGAAAGTGAACATCGGACGATTGGGCGGTCGCGAAATGACTCGAGATTTGCTTTGAAAAGAAAATTGCCCGGCCTCGATATATACCAAGCAAAGTGTTGCCGTTGCTTTATATTTAGACTTAACGGATTTTCCCGTAGCCACGTGCTATGAAAATACGCGTGCAATACACGAGCGCGTCCGTACTCTGCGGTTGATTATTATTCCTGCATCAGCTGATGCTATCGCGATACAGAGGTAATGAGGTGATACTCCACCTTGGAATTTAAAAATCACTTCTTTAATTTGCGCGTTTCATGACGTGCTGTGCGATAACTTGGAAAAGCAATTCTGAAATCAAATAAACGATTAATTTCTTTTTAACGAATAATGTTTCAAAAAAAGTTACGAGTATTTGAATTGTATTTTGAAAAGTTGCACGAACTCGTGTTCCGGTGTCTAACATCTTGGAATAAACGTACATATTCTTACTTCGTCTTGGATCGATCTGAAACAGTAATTTTCAATAACTTTATTACCACATAGATATTACGCGATATTACGCAAGAGTACCATGGTTATTCATAAGCTCGATTCGAATGCAATTTCCTTCACCTGATGGAGTAATCTAGAATTATAATACGCAATTAATAAAACGGGCTTGGCTGTAACTTTGATCGACTTTCAGTTGTGGTCTCTTTTAGCTTTGATTCGCATAGTCTTTCTGTGGTGGTGTGAACACGCCAGTGTGTGTTCTCCTTCTGCATACTTTGGTCTACCGTTACGTCTCAGTGGCTTTCATCTAGACGAATGCATCTGGTCCCAAATGTTACAAAACAATAAAACATAGTACAACGTAAAACGGCATAATACAACATTGTACTGGATGCTGAAATTTAATTAATGAAAGTCGTTTAAAACAAATTTGCACATTTTACCAATTTTCTGTTCCGTCTAAGCTTTGCGTCGATTGATACAATGCAGTTGGAAAGTTACAGGGAAAGTTGGGTATAACGAACGCTTCGGTTCCTAGTATAGATAAATTTCGATTAACGATAACAGTTTTGTTGTGTTTAAATTATTTTAAACGTTTCCAACTATGTATATCGTTGTTTCTGCACAGTTTAATGGGTTACATTTATGTCACCGTTATCACCACCGAAGATAAGCTTACGAGGAGAAATACTATTCGCAATACCAATTGTTCCGTTACATGACCCTTGAGTAATCGGGGCTTCTACTGTATATTAAAGAACAGATTAGGACAGTGGCGCACAATTCTTTTTGCAAATTGACCAGATGGAAGGAAATAATAATTCTAGGTTTAGATTTTCTACGAAATTATTCGAAACACTACAGAATTTATAAAGTACAGTCTTTTCTTTTACGATTTCTTTTGTACGGATTTTTCATTTGTTTTTGTTATTATATCGTTAGCTAAGCAAACATGATTTTGTGAACCACTGGGTTCCGAGTGACATAATGCGAGAGAAGTATACGGAACTGATTGAATTTTCACTGAAACATGCATGATTCACCTAACTTGTCGTCCTTCAATTATTTGCAAACTGTTCGTCGTATTAAAGAGTTGTTTAAACAAATGTCGCTCGCCGTCGACTAGAACAGGTTAGAAAATAATTAATTACTTGCAACTGCGAGGTATTTTAATTTGTAATCGACGAGAACGTCGAATGCCGAGTGACAAATTGCCATAGCAAATGTGATCATGTTATGAAACGCTCTTAGTTCGATCTACAAGGAAAGAAGAATTTCGACAATCCCTTTCTATTTCATTTCTTTATTAAAAATTAATTAGAGAAAAGGCAGGTTAGTCTTAGCTCGGACTAAAATTTTAAGATCTAAAATTTTGCGAGATAGTTAGAAGGTGTTTGGCACGTAGATTTAAAAGATCATTGAAGTAAGGACAACTCTAATGCACGCGATTCTAACTTTTGCATGATTTTTTGATTGTCCTTCCGAATATTTCATTTTATTTCATTGTATTTAAAAATAAGATCGAGCTCCGCGAATATCAGTTTACGGAACTGCACTTTTGGTGGCAACTTCGTATACTCTCTTTGCAATTGTTGTTAACACGTTACTGATCAGCGTCACAGTCGCATGACTCTCGACAAATTATCACGGTAGCGCGTCAATAGGGTGTGCTTATAGAAATTATAAACGATGACAGGATGGAAACGAGCACAGAATGTTACAAATTCAGCAATAAACATTCCTAGGAAATAGCTACGACGAATGGAAAATATTTGTAGTATCATCACAGTTGAAAGGAACATATTCATATATCAACATATTCTGGTTTAGGTGTGACACCCTGTATAAGATTTTAATTCCACAAGCTAATGGAGTCTTCAGCAGTAGTTAAATGACAACCCATAATATGTTAACAGCTATAATATTGTTCTAGTGGCAAGCAATTATTCCCAATCTTCCTTATACGGTGTTCTTTGTAATTTAGATTATTGTTCAGATTCTGTAGACCCCTGTGCACAGACGTAGTTATCCAGCGAGGCTTAACAAACGTTCGTACAATCACTGTCTGACAATTGTTTGCATAACAATTGCATTCTTATTGTTTCAGGATTGTGTCACGTGTATTATACATGAATGGTTGGAGATTCGCCAGACATCGTTGGAGAAGGATCGGTCTCAGATCAGGGAGACGTAGAAAGATGGCAGGATAATCCGGGTGTGGTGGCCTTGAGTTTCGCGCTTTTTGGCTGCTTCCTGCTAAATGTCATTCTTCTACTCGCATTCCTCGTGCGTCCTTCGTTGAGGACCATTTCCAACAGGTTGGCGCTTCGTCAAAATTCCTTTAAGCAATACTTTATTGGGGTGTTCTATCGCCCTCCCTTTCAAGTCGTCACAATGTCTCCCTATCAGTGCGTCGCAAATTCATCTCCATCGTCTTTTACTACTCTCCACTTTCTTCCCCACTGCATTGCACTTGAGCAATTTGACGTAAACTTAAATAATGTTTATCGCTCTTGATTACTCATATTCCCTTTTAAGGTGTCACATCTCTCCCTATCAAGTTGTCACAGTTATCCCGATCATGTACTTCACCGATGCATACAACTCCAGCCAGCTAAAATACTTTTGAATAATATTATTTCTCTCGGTTACTCACCTTCTATCTCAAAATTGTCACAATTTCTCCTTACCAAGTTGCCACAAGCTCATCTCCCATCGTCTTCCCCTCGGTACACAAACTCCATCGATCTAAACTACGATAAACTAACGTTATGACGTTCCAGGTTCGTCATGAATCTAACCGTATCGAACCTGTTGGTGTGCGCCATCATGAACCCTCTTCTGATCATGGACACCTCGACGCCATCGGGATCCGCGCAAATAGTCCGATCGGCGCCGGTTGGAAGTATTTGCGCGATATCTGAAGGCGCCATCGCCGTCGTAACGACCTCCTCGGTGCTCTCGGTTCTCTTGATTGCCATTGACCAGTACTTCGCCGTGGTGGATCCATTGAGATACCGTGCACGCGTAGACAAACTGAAATGTGGAATTCTGATAATGTCCACCTGGCTGATCTCGATCATCTTCGGGCTACTCGCCTTCTTCAACCCAGATCCACGAGGCTTTTGGCTTTCCTGCGGCTCGAAGAACGTCACCTGGTCCCCGAACGTGACCTCCTACGATCCAGCGATGACGGAGTCGTCCTCGCTCTCCGTTCTAGAAAGCGAGATCGCAGAGCTGAACGTCAGCGGACTTCCTGAAATATTGGAGACGGTCGAGTCCATCAGGATCGATGACGATCTAGATCTCATAGAGAACACCACCGTAATCTTCGACACTCTGATAGGCGGTACGATCACTTACGGTTTCGTCTACGCCCTCCTCTACGCCATATTCGCCTACTTCATCCCCTTCGCCGCAGTCTGTTGGATCTACGTCAGCATCTACGCGGCAGCCCACCGAAACTCCGAAAGAGCAAGACGCAGCGGTTCCAGGCCCATCCTGTCGTCTGCTAGTTTCAGCGAGGAACATAACGGCTTGTCGAGGCTGCAACGTCTTCAAACTGACACCATCGAAGACTTCCGCAAGCTACCAAAAATCTCCAGCTTGTCATCCATTGACGAAACCAGCGAGACCATGCAACCGACTGGCCAGGTGTCGCGAAAACGTTCCTTCTCGTCGTCGATGGAGTTGGAGGTGCCTCTTTCCCCCGGCGACGATCAGGTTTCCTCGGGTATAGTCTTCACGGTGGGTTTGCAGAAGTTGGAGGTTTCCGAAGAGAAAGATCGAGAAAGTTTGAAAGCTAGTCATGACTCCATTCTCGAAGGTCTTGTTGGAAAGTCGCCTCAGGGTCGGTCCAATCAGGAGCAAACCTCGCCTCAGGATGGTCTTACGTCTGAGAGAGGGGACACCTGGCTCTCTAGGACCTTTGAAGAAGCTAGTGATTCGGAAGACGATGCTCGATTCGTTTGCTTCCACACCTTGGACGTTCTGGATAAAAGAATGTTTCTGATTAATAGAAAAGTTTCTCCGTCTTTTGGCGGTTACCAGTCATCCTTGAAGAATCCTCTAAAAGTCGCTGCGATCATTGAAGAAGGCGACAAAGCAAGCGAAGCAAAGGTAGACCTCGAGCCAAAGGAGTCAGAGGTAGTAACGGATGAAGCTTGCGCCGATGATCGCGCCCCTGACTACCTGGTACAGGTCGAAATGGACCTAGAAAGCCAGGATGGAGAGTCGAGAATATTTCAGGGTCTTTTAGAAGACAAGTCGTGTCGCAGGACGCCAACGTTCGCTGCGCAAGACGTTATTATATCTAACGAACCCGAGAATTTAAGTAACAAGACTGAAAGAGATACAACCGCTGCCAGCAACGCAGCAGAGCCTTCTACTGGTCTCTTAACGCCAATAGTGACCATCACGCCAGCGCCAAACAAAAACGAAGGCCTGCACCGCGTGTCGAGCGTCAGGAGCACGTCGAGCTACATAAGTACTCTGAAGGATAGAATAAGCAATGGGTCGATTTTTCGACACAGAGAGGAAACCAGAGCGGCCAGAATAAGCGCTTTGGTTATAGTGATGGGTCTAATCTGCTGGTCGCCGTATGTGATACTGTTGATACTGAAGAATCTACCTCAAGCAGCTGACCAACGTTTGTCTCACAAGTACGACGTGATGGCGTCCAGTTTCTTAGTTCTGGCTGCTTACGTTACCCCATTGCTGTTCGGTTATCGCTCTAAACGCGTTAAACGGGAGCTCAGGAGATTCTTCTGCTTCAGAAGGGAGCTGTCCTACAAAAACAACAGGAGCTTAATGGCGAAGAAAGTGCTGAAGAGGAGGCACAGCAGCACGCTGAGTCACCTCGAGATGGATCACAAGTACAACATCTTTAATTGCGTTTATGGAAGGAACCGGTGGCCGAAAGAAAAAGTTCAGTTTGTTCAAGTGCCAGACACTGCGCTGGCTGTCGAGACTTGCAGGAGTAGCTTCTCCAGCGGTGCTAGCACTCAAATCTCCAGCACCTCCACGGAGGAATGTTGATGATGTTCCTGATACCTCTGTTGATTATTGTTCGGGATACTTAATAGAGTCGATAGTTTCTTCGGATCAGTCGTAGTCGCTGTTACTCATTTGTTACTCACAAGGAGAGGTCTGATGTTGATTTCTTGATTAGCTTGTGCACAGTGGTAGATGATAAATAAACTGTGGATCTTGATGCATTTATGGGAAATTTGAATGCGGGAAACTACAGAATGCACACAATCTGCAAGAATATAAAGAAATATTTAAAGTAAAGTTCATATTACAATATTTGCAGAGTAAAATAAATTCTGAATCAGTATCAATTTTTGTAGGTACGTTTGTAAAGTCAACATTACCTTTCAAGACCTCTGCTTGTTAAACAGACCGTGTACGTAAGGGTGTGAATGTTGATTGTCTGAAGATATAATGTTTGAAAGGATTGAAGCAAGAATGCTGTGCAACGAACCAATGAGATACATGATAGCACTTGACAGGAAACTTATTTATGGATATATGAAGTTTCCTATGAATGACGTTGTGTAGATAGAGTGAGTCATTCTGGTTCTATTCTGTGGCTTGAGATTGTCTGCAAACATAATATTTAGAAAGTTAAGGCAAGAATGCAGTGCAACCTACCAATGAGATAAATGTTGGTACTCCATAGGAAAGAATGTGTGTACAACACACTTGCATGAAACTTCCCAGGCATAAATGGGCCTGAACCATTTTGATTTCAAAATGGCCTAATTAATTGAAATTATATAAGCAAATCTATGGTTTTCCAACATAGTTATACGTTACTTAACTGTCTTAATTGTCTAACTATGTAACTGAACTTGACTTATCTAAGACATACGTAAATTTTAAGTTACTCTGTGTTAACATAATCAGACTAGGAGATTTATACAATTTGTCAATATAGACGACGCTGCACTGAAGATATAGATTTTACGTTTATGTAAGCGACAAACTTTGATACTTTATACCGTGGCATTTATGGAATGCGTGCGTTATACACAATTTCTGTACATCTATACAGAATGTTTTATAGCCCTCGAGCTAAGATATCTTTCATTTTTAAGATATTCCGAAAGCTTCGTTCTTAAACTATTTAATTTTAATGTTACATTTAACGCAGTTTCTGCTACGGTGCTCAATATTTAACGAAACATAAACAGAAACTTAAACGGTATTACTGCAGCTCGGTACATTGACAATAATTTTTTTTTTTTTTTTATATTCTACTTGCTTGTAACTGCAGCTCTAAAGCAATCAACGCAACTATTAGAATTTACACGACTTAACATAACATCTGGCTGAACTATTTATTGATAGATCTGTCAAAGTATTTTCGCAAGTATAACTATGTAAATAAGTACACAGCGTTGCATGACAAATCTTAACGCGAATCCTTGAAGTGTTTCAAGGATGCTTTCCGACTATTTTGTACATTACAAATACAGTATCTTTATTTATATTAAATAATCTGTACATACAACGTGATTTGATGATGAATCTTGGTAACGAATCTATTGTCTATCGTATATTACATAGCTGGTGCGTCGCGTGTTTGTGTGTGTGGATCTGTATATGTGTGTGTTTTAACATGTATTTTGCGTACCTGTATAAGACACGTATACATGTATATTTCAGTAGGCTGTTTTTATTATACAATGATAATAAAATCAACTACATACTTGTCATTTTGCATTTTACTAAAAGAAAACAAGTCCAAAACTGATATTTGGTAGGTCTGTTCATTACAAATCTTATACTAAACAGGATTTGCATTTAGAAATTTTATATTAAACAGGAGTTGCACTGAGAAATTTAAACCAATTGTATTCTATCTTAATACTAGGTTTACGGAGCATGGTCACTTTTAACCATATCAAATGCTACAATTCAATAATTATTATGAGTAATTCGTTTGGTTAGATGCTTGCTATAATTATCGTTTCAGAAAACTTATGCAATGCGTAGTCTTTTACTCGAGGTACAGAGAGCAATCTATAACTGGCATTACTACGACAGGCAAGTTGTGATGCCAGTGTTGCTTCCAATTTTGGCGTCACAGCAGACAAGCACAGAGATATTATAGATAGAGTAGGGGACTTTATTATAAAACTGGCGTCCTTAGTCATCCCAAAAAAATGATAGAAGTATAAAATAATTGAGACCGCGCATCGTTTTCTATAGCTACAGTAATGTGCGCTCAGCTTTGAACGTCGCGCATGCGCGATTTGGAAGCAACGCTGGCATCATAGGATGGGATATCCTCATTTCCAACGAGGCATTTTCACTTACAGACAAGGGCTGTCTCCCCTGCTCTATCTATAATATTTCTATGCAGACAACTCACGGATACTTCTGAGTGCTATGTACAATTGATAAATCATGATCATTTATTTTATAACCTAGAATTCTCGAAACGATACGGCGGCTGTGGGTATAATCTTGGGAGTTCTATAGGTGGTGCACTTCCATCGTCGCTGGTGAACATAGTATTGTCATATCCTACTTCTGGTTTTGTAGTGGCTTCGCTGCTTGTGTCTTCCTTGGAACCTTCCATTAGGAACATGGTGAAGAAGAACATGATGGAACCTAAGAATAAGTTCTTTATTAGTAATTTGCTGAACGCAGTGGAATATAAGGATAAGGTGTCGATTAATATTTAACCGTTTGGTTACTTACTGATGCCATAAAATCCAGCATAGAAGATGTAAAGAGACTCTCTGTAACCAATGGCCATCCTAGTAGGTTCCACCAGTATTGGCAAGTTTCCACCGATGTTGTTCATGACAAATAAGAAAGCACCAATAGTGGTGGACCTAAAATGTAGGGGGACTATTTCCACGACTACGGCGAACACTATGCCAAACCACATTTCAGCTGCAATGAAAAAGATACTTTTTAGAGTATTACTTATTAACAGATTTTTATGCATTTGTTTCTACTGTGGGTTTCTCGAGCAATTACTCTTGCATGATCGGCATCTTGCTTACCAAAGAAGTAAGAAATCCCAAGGGTGATCATCGCCCACAGGGGAGTGAAGTACACCGAGCCAAACGCAAAGGGTGTCGCTATTATCTGACTGATGGCCAGGCAAGCGACTCGAGATCTGATTCCCATCTTAGCGACGATCTTATCGCTGATTACTCCACCGACCACGACACCGATGCTGCCGATCACAATGGTCACGGCGAACAACCACCAACCCAGGTCATAGTCTGGGAAGTATTCCCTGTAGTAGAGGTCGCAATTGTAGGCGAAGCACATGCCACCTGAAATTGTGAATAACCCTTTTATTTTATTATTGGCGAACAAATAGAAATAAATGTAGGGGTTTTAAACAGGGGCTTTAGGAGTGTACCATTTAGGGTAGACGAACGATAACAAATAAATATTTTTCATGGAATACGAATTCGGCTGGAACGAACCAGTCACGTGGACACTAATGCGTCCTTAGAACGAATTTGAATCCTTTGCGTCAAGGCCGTTTACCGCAATGTCTGATGCTGGCGGCCAAGCACAAAAGAACGATCCTCGGTTGCAGTATCACTTTCCAGATCGGTATTTTCTTCCCGTCTTTACTCGTTTCCTCCTCGCCGATCGTCTTTCTCTCTGGCTCGGATAGGGTGAAAGTGAAGACACCTACGATCAGTCCGATTATGCCAGCCCCGTAGTAGCACGCTCTCCATCCCTGTAAAAATCGTTCCGAAATTGTAAACACGTGTTGCAGAGTTGTTTACGTCTTTTTAGTTTTATGTAAAAATATGTGAATTTCAATGTTGCCTACCAAATTTCCGATGTTGAGTTTGGGTATGTAACGACCAACCGGAAATGCGATACCATAACCACCGTAGATGCCCCAATTGAAAATCGACATGACGAGCCCTCGCTGTTCTTCGGGGAACCAATCAGAAAGTAAACCAGTCGCCAACGGATTGCATCCTGCCTCCCTTTATGTGTTATAAATGGATTTATCTATTATAATTATATATATTTTTGCATTTCTATGTATTCTATACATTCTACACATAAATGTGACAAAATGTAAAACTTATTTCATCGATCCGGTATCCAACTTACCCAGCAGCTAATACCATGCGAAGAATGACCAATTGCCAGTACTCCTTCACTGCTCCCATCAGGACGATGGCGATGCTGAATATGAAGGTGCAAATGGTTAACAACCTCACCCTGCAAATAGAGTTGGATGAATTAGAAGGATAGAAAGCATGAAAGCATGAAGAATAGAGAGAATGAACCTAATAAGAGCATATTTTTCTTCTTTTCTTTAGAAATTTGTCGAACATTACCACTAATTGTAAGTCTGCGCTTGCTATCCCGCGCCAAGTAAGAAATACTTACGTAATAAAATATGCATCATTCGCCTAACGGTGTACGTACAATCCACTATACTTTACATTCATAATTCTAACGATAAAAATTATATGAATTCAAAGGTGCGGTGGCAATATTCCACCTCAACGGAACACGTTGCGCAATCGCCGGAGATGTAATTGTATAATTTGTCACCGTCAAGTAAATACCTGTTGTATTTATCGGCAGCTACACCCAAGCAAACGCCAACGATCGTGAACACGGCGATAAAACTCGGGCCAGCCAAGATTTGATAGTCCAGACCAAGGCCATTGTAGTTCCATTCACAGTAGCGGGAACCGTTCAATTCCAGGGACTCGCAGCTGCGAAACAAAATACGTACACCTTCAACGGGCGTCTCTAATTCAGACGAAGGTAATACCGTTGCGTTTGTCTAGTCGCAGTTCGCCTACATACTGACAATGAGTGAAAGTAATACAATTCCTGGCGAGAGGTGTTCAATCTGGAGCAGAAAGTATTCGTATGGACGTTATTGTTACTAAACTGCGGATTTGTATGCATTTGTATGTATTCGTCAGAACCTTACATGGCCCTCGAAATCAAACAGCTCTCGTTCGACACTTTCTTTCTATCGTTAAAAGTAAGCCAATTATTCAGGTGGCCCGTTTTAAATGCCTCACCCTGTATATACCAAATACTTGACTCATTGTCACAAGTGAAATTAAAATCAGCGAATGCCGACATTTCGCCATTATAATTACATAATTAACGAGAACTGAAATTAACAGAACTTACAAGCTTTGGTTGTGTGCCGCCTCGCATTGAATGGGAAGATCTACGAGGGCCAGCGTGGTCGAGTTTAATTGGCAGGAAATGTCACCGTAGTGTAGATCTTCCGCTGTCTCTTTGCTCGTTACACCTTGAAAACGAGCGTTAGTTAATTTTACACGAAGACTATGGGATACAGGAAATTCAATAACGTTCGTGGAATTACAATTTTTTTACATCGACACTATGCGAAGATCGATTGACCGTGTTTATATGCCGTTTTAAGGAAGAGGAAGCATAACCGAACATTTTACTCACCAATTAAATAATGACCTAGCTCTCCAAGTACGTATCCGATTGAAACGATCGCCAATGCGTACGGTTTGTACAGGAATTGCAATTTCTGGAATACCGTGCTCAACATCGTGTGTCCTGGGGGCAGAAATAATTACGAAGTGAGCCGTTAGTTAACACAAGGAAATACAAAACGGAATTAAAGAGTAGATCAATTAACTAAAAATGTCTCGGGAGGATTTCTTCACTTGTACGAAACCAGGGAAACGAAACAACGGTGATTCGTCTCGTATAGCACAATATGAGGAGATATGATCGACAAAGGTGTATTTACGATCGGGTAAATGCTAACAAGTATGTAAACGCCTGGCGCAGTATAATTTTCGCTGTAATTAAATGCACAAGCTCGTAGACATTCATCGAAGCGTTATGAAATCCGTACGGTTTATGACAGTCGGTTGCATGCCATTGAATTTGACCGACGTATTTCATCATTGACGAGAAGGAATGCTCACTGATAAATTTCAATACTCGTTAGATCGGCGTTTCTCGGCATGGACAACCGGGTGCCACGCGGGGGCCAGTTACTGGCCTTCGGGTGGGCGTCGAGCGCGACAGCAAACTTTAGGGGGCGTTGACATTAGATTGATCGCTGATTTTATAGTCAATTTTATTCAGTTCATTAGTTCTTAATCAATGCTTTCAAGTATACTATACATTTGTAGGACTATGTTTTTTTTTTTTACAAATGCAACGATGCATGCGATAATTGCATTTTTATTTAAATGTTCACTTTGAACCATGCATCTCTTTCCTTTGGAATTTTTCTCTCCATGTACTGATAATAAAGTTAAAGCTTGTTACATTTACTTCTCCTTATTTATATTATTCAAAATCGATT